ATTCGACGCATCAGTTAATGAATTAAACAACTATAAAAATGTGTTATATTACTATTCATACTTCAATTTATATATAATGTAAGAAATCGTAAATATAAAAATTACATAAAATATAAAACAGAAAAAATGTAATACATATATAAGTATATTACTTACTCGAAAAAGATTACAACTTAAAGACATTATGCAGATTATCACTAGAGTGAAATACCATTTGTTCATAAAATTCATGAAAAACGTAGAAAACCTTCAATAATAAAGAAAAATTTAAATCATATCCTTGAATTAATTATATATAAAAATATGATTTTCTATAGGTAATTAAAATTAATGCGTGCGTCATATATAATAGAAAGATTCGCAAAAGTAGCCACGGTAGTGTCGCTGCGTGTACCTTAGCGCCGAGACACTACTAGTGTCTCTAGATAATAATGTTAAAAGAATAAATTATGTAATGACTAACTGAATAGATTTTCTATGGATATGAACAGCACGATTAATTCTCTGACACATTGTATGTGTTTTCTGATAGGAAGTAATTTGAAGTGTATGTTGAGTCACTGTTTTTTCGATTAAGTTACTGCAAACAATTTTTATATAATCAACAAACAGTTCAAGATAGATTATTTTCATCGACAGAATTAAAGATAGACACATTACCTAGCGATTTTAAAAGTGGCACCACAATGCCCGATGAATGCGTAAGATAATGTTCCCGTTGCAAGAATGGTAAATACTTCAATTATTATTGTTATGATTTCATATATTAAATAAATATAAAAATACTGTTCCTCGTCGATAAAAAATTCGAAATCTATTTTTACTTTACGTGGCCGAGATTTATTCAACGGTGTGACAGCGTCAAGAACAACTGGTATCAATTCAATAAATATGATAAAAAATATAGCAAATGCGACGACAACTGGACATTGAAAATAACAAGATCACATACAACCTTGTTAATTATAAGTAAACAATTTCAAACAGACAGATATAAATGTTATTTAATATGTATCTTATAATTTACTTACAACTCAAAATTAGTGACAGAAGACGATTTTCATTAGCATTTTTCTCTAATATTCTAATTTCATTATTATCTTTGGTTGAATTCCAGTCCAATTTTATTTGTTTCAACAAATATTTCACCTATCATTTAAACAGTTAATGTTTCGAAATTCCTCTTACTGATGTGAATTAAAATTCTCGGAGTAAAAATGTTCTTCCATAAAAATAAAATTACAAACAGTACTTACTTCTTTAGTATTAAAATAATAAGAATTATAGGTTATAATACATAATATGGTAACAAAAATATATGATAGATTTTTAAAAATAAATTCCAAGTTGCACTTTGCCGTCAAAAAAGTTGTAAACTGCAACATATAAGTATGATAACAATATATCGAAATTACATAGAGAAGAAAGTGATATATTATGGCACCCAATTCCCATTTTCTACAATAATTTGGTTAATAATTGTTATTTGAATTTAAAGCTTAACAATTATATTTATGAAATAGTTGTTTAATTAATTATAGACTCGAAATTACGAAAAACTCATTACTTAGGTCGTTATTTATAAATATGTGGCGACGTTGCATAATGGTTCGATGAAAACAGGGGTTTACATATTATTTACAGGTAATACAATCTTCTAAAAAGCAGATTTACAAAATTAGTTTTAAAAAAAAAACAGTATTTGGTTACAAAATTAATAAAAAAGTAACATATTGCATGAATTTATGTATTCAAATTATGTAAATGTATGTGTATCACATACTACTTCCGCATATAGGGTGATTAGTACTAAAAATCTATATACATAGATTTTAAATAATATAAACTATAGATTAATAGTAGAATCACAACCAAGCAATGAAAATATTATTTTGTTATGAAAACCTCAAAAAAGAAGCTGTTAACAATCAGCACATTTATAAGGCCACATTAGCAAAATACCATATTATCGTTCAACTTTGCATAACTCAAAATGTATTCAATCAAATAAAATGTTAAATAGCAAAGAATACACTTAAACATATATTCATGCGATAATTTGTTCAAGTTGAAAAAGAATAAGAAAGTATGTAATTAAATGTTAAAGTGTATAATAAAAACGTTTCAATATATTTGAAAATAAAAATGCACTTTAATAAATGTCGACTAATATGTCTTAGCATATTAGCATCATTATTTATAAGAGCTACTAGGTACATAAATTCATAAGTTTCGAATTCGTCACTTAATAACGGAGATATTACGAGGAGCCAATATATTTACAACAGTCATAATACCACTTTCTTCTTAAAGAATCATTCAAAGAAGTGTTAAGTGTAAGAAGAAAATGGTTATAAAATACCTGGAATAAAAGAATGAAACAATATGAGCCAAGGAAGAACACAGATTGTACTTGCATAATAATCGGCGTTTGATAAGGCCACAAACCAACCGCTGTTAACAAAATCCGATAAATGTTGTAATAACGCTCGCCAGAAAAGACCATCTTACTTAGAGGACAGAATACGTGTGAATGGGAATATTGCAGAATTATAGAATAACAACGTACTGAATATTTTTCTATTTTTTGTCAACTATCTCTTGTGAAAGAAAAGTATGTGGTAGGTTATGTAATTTAACAATTTTCTATAATTACGTAATGAGAGCGAAAAGTACTATCATTTTGTCGACCATTTGAAATAAAGACATCCTATAATACATTGAAAACGATTCTTTTTGCGGTAATTTTCAATGTTATAAGAAAATATACCTCTCATTACATTCTTACAGTTTGGATCGGCGCAGATCGGAGTAACTTGACGCGAGAGCGTAGTTCACAGTGGGTGTTTTCCCACAATGTACACAGGTGACACAGTGTAACACTGTGTCCTACACAAAGTGTTAAAACTATGACACAATGTCACAACGCTCGACATTGTAAAAAGCTAAGTACGAGCGTGTGAAATATGTTAATGTTATCAACTTTTCGAAAAGTTATTTGGTAGCTGTACTTATTTTGCAATAAAACCTTCAAAAATCGCCAATTTTGAAAAAATTATAACTTAAATCTAAATAAAAATCATGAATCTATTATTGATACGCTAAATTATAAGAATAAGAATGGAAGACTGCAATGCATTCTGGAGTTCCACTATAAAACTAAACTGTGTTCCAACAAGTACTTTACACGATGAAACACGGTATAACGTCTCTGTGTCCTAGCTGGAAAACAACCAGTATGACGCGTCCCCAGTATACAAATAAATTTTATATTAAATCAATTGAATACATCTTATAGTGCTAAGATATTAGGAACTTAGATCTTCGAAAACATTCTTCACTTTTGAATGTTGTGTTACATGCATTATACAAATATATTTTATTAGTTTCTTTATAAAGTCAGTAATGTTTACTAGGATCAATATTATCACAATTGGAGAAAATACTTTCAAAAAATCTACATTACTTTTTACGTCAGAACATTCTTTTATACTATTTAAAGCAATCAATAGGATTTAGACATTCGGGCAAGATTATGAAGTGCACATGCGGAGAAGTGAATTTACGCGCAAAAGTGAATAGAGTACTTGTTGAAGCGTAGTATCAACATTTTGACTGACGTGCGACCTACTAAATATAAACATAAAGCGCGCAACGATGCTCCGCGCGCCCCGTGATCGTGCCAAACATCCGAATCCTATTAATTGGATTACTTGGAATGATATAAAAGGATGTTCTGACGTAAGATATAATGAAGATTTTTTTTAATTCATTTGAACAATATCATGTAATTATTGTATGTGTTAATTTCTTATAAGATTCTTAGGTATAATTCACCTTAGAAATGCAATTCGGTAATTCCTACTTCATATATAATATCGATATTTTTAAATTAATTCAGAAATGTAAAGTTATACAGAAAAAAATTCATATGTACAAATAAAATGTTTTTACTATCGATAGAATTAGAAATAGCATTTTATAAAATAATTATATTCTTCAGGATCTACGAAATTATTAAAAGATTTTAACGACACAACATATGACATGCTGTAAACAATTACGGAATTAAATATGAACTACGTAAACTATGATATCATTTATAATTACGTATACCGTAATTTTTTCAATTTGAAAAAGTTATTGAATTATATACCTCTTTTATACAGGTATAAGACGAAATGTATTAATTTTCAGTTAACCGTATGTTAACGGTATGTTAAAAATTTTCATGAAAATTTTAGTGTAATGAGATACGTTTTAATAAGTTTTATTATCCATTTAGCGTTTCCTTAAATAAATTACATTATTATTTATTAATGGAACGAGAAAAAGTAAAGTACATGGCGAAAATAAACATTGGCATTGTCCAGTATATTAATGTGTATTCCATAAGTCCTTGAAGAGTAATACTCCGAATTAGTAAAGGTAAAAGAACATGTCCCAAACTAAAGAAAAGGTTAATCTCAGATTCTCCGGTTGTGTATTTGCGGCATCTTAGCACCAATTGCACAGTAAAACCGAACAGTACGAATCATTATTAATTATCCTATTACAATGACATATGTGATTTCAGCTTACAAGTATTATACGTTAAGTGCTAAAAATTAAAATATTTTCGACATTTTAATGCTGCTAATGGTATAGCATATATTTACATTTTACATAATAATATGAGATTAATGATTTGTTTGAACATATATTTACGTACCTAGAAATCCGTAATGACCTTCTGTTATTAATATGTGCAAGTATTACTACATTCAAGGTAACCAATTGAAACTTTGTTTGGATTATTTCATCGTGGTGGTATATATTACAGTAAAATATGATACTGCTGTAGTTATAAGCTGAAAAAATATCATAACTTTGTAAAACAATCATCAAGATTTGATTGTTGCAAACAGTGTTATGTACAAACATTATTGTCTTTTTAAATACGCATTAAATACAACAAAAACAGATTAAGTAAAAGTTTTTCTAGACAATTAGTTTCCTGTTCAGTATAAAGTATTTATTACTGTAGAAAATCCTTCTAGAGATGTTACATAAATATGACCAAGTATTAGGGTGTGAGTTTTCAGAGAATTTTGCATCACAAATAAAAGCAATTTTTGTATTGGTATTGGAGCTAAATACCACATTGTATTATATCTAGAAATTTATAAAAATGTTAGATTTAGCATTATTAATAACTTTCATATTTACTTATAGTAGCGCATTTAAATTATACGTAGCTTGTATTTTTCATTTACTTAATAACAAATATACAAGTATTATATACATAAAATGTGCACTTGATATCCGAGACACTACAATGTAAACAGATGTCTATGTATAAATATTCGTAAATGCGTGCGTACGTGCATGCGCACGCGCTATGTACTTAAAGATGTTATTAAATAAAAGTAGCAACCACAACAATAATATTATATGATGTAATGTGCAAAGGTTTAATGATATGTAACCGTGTGCGAGCGTATGTGACGAGTGTGCGCAGGAAAAAAGAAGAGAGCGGAGGATGACTAGAGATAGATTCAAGTGATATCAAGACTCGACTGTATCTTTGTAAAAAATACGTATTTATATAATAATAATAAAGCTGCTCTCAGAACTGTCTCCTTGGTATATGTATACACGTTATACACATCGTTCAGCGTCTTACAATTGATTATAATTCTACAATTTCATCTATTGTTGGATTATCTCGTTGATTTCTACTTGCATCAGCAATACTGTTCAATATAGCACTGTTGCGATATTTAACTATAAAGAAGCCTGTAGTCGTTATTCTGTTGAAATTCTGTGGATATATGTTAGGAATGTGCGATGTTGATCTGATTTTCTGAAAGATCGATTTTTTGCAAGAAAAAATAGATCGATTTTTTAATCCATTCACCAAGACCCGATTTTAAGGCAGATTAATTCATTTAATAAAAAATCGATCTTCGAAGTGCAGGAATGAATTTAGAAGTTCAAGACATATTCTGATATATCATTCCATCCCTGTGGCTTACTGAATGTCACACATGGATAAAATAACATTTGGATATACCCTGATCAGTAAAGATTTAACACTTCATTTTAATATCTCCTTTAATTCTTTTATTTTTATCTTTAACTATCGTGAATTGTTCATTATACTAACACCATTGTCAGGTTTGTACAGATATTTAAAAAGTCGTATGTTTTGACGTAATTATTTTTATTGTGCTCTGGTTGCACTATTAAATAAACTTGTTTTATGATATATGTATAACTAAAAAAATTTTTATATTTCATTTAGATCTTTATCGTTCCATTAATCAGGCTTAGTAATATTTGTAATTACAACTAGTAATTATTATCGATAAAAATGTGTAAATAAATTCTACTTAAATTCTATTTTATAACATTGATTTGACAGTTATAATATATGATATTGACAGTTATAAAATTGAATTTAAAATTGATACTGACAGTTATAAAATTGAATTTAATGGGTTTATGTACAATACTTTACGATTTTAAGTCAGTAGTTACGAAATACAGATGTTAAATTATGTAAAAGAAGATTTATAAATTAAAATAATTTTACTCGGAGGTAAATTAGAATAATGTTCTAATTGTTTTATTATATTTGTTCAATTTATACGACGTTACTAAAACATTTTAATTGAATCAATCTCTGATCTCCGATAGATCGATTCACTCCGCTCCAATTTTTTAATAGATCGAATTCAATCAATCTGATTCAAGATTGATTAAGAGATCGATTCAATTAATAGAGATCGTACATCCCTAATATATGTACACAAACGCGTGCACACAGCATGTACGTTCATACCTTACAAACACGAATACGTATACGCGACATACAAGTGTTTGTGTAAAAGAACGCACGTAAGAACGGATCACGTAAAAGAAACGTTCAAATCTATTCAGCAACTAGCCATAGAAGTATATTGCCCACTGAAATTTTTGATCAAAGATGCAAGAACTACACATTACAAATTCAAGCAAATTTACTAAAAAGATTAGTAAATATAAGTTGTGTAGGGTACTTTGAATATAAACGTTACAAGTACGAAGATACTCTATGACCGAAAATAGATATTCTTCTCCTGTTTTATGAAATAATAGGACAAATACTTATGTAAATATTAATCTAAAATAATAATGCATCTCTTTAAATATTATCAATCTAATTAAAAAAATGGATTATTCAACATTTAAAAAATAAAATTAGAAACAAACACAATAATAAAGGTTAATTTTTAAAACGAGAAAACCCGGATGATAGATAAAATTAATTATTGTATTAATATACATAAAATCTCGGTACGTTCCGACTTAACTTAGTCTTCTTTCGCCGAAGATAATTTGCAAGTTATAAGCGCATGATGTTACAAAGAGAGATACTATAATTGACGCTTAAGTCGAAACGTACCGAAAAATTTCATATCTACTAATAAAGTAATTAAATTTATGTGTTACTCAGGTTTGCTCGTTTTAAAAATTGAACTATATTATT